ATAGAAGGTGTGGAACTGGCAAGCGTGTGGAGGACGGTTCTGGAGCAGCCGAGCTGACACGTGTTGGTGTGCGGTCATCAGAAGGAAGAGTAGTCATCACCTGAAGTCCACTTGACCTCAAAACCCTCAAGCCAAACTGTCGGAGCACTCAAGACCACACAAAGACCAGAAAAAATCAACCAGTGGCAACCGAGGTGAATCATCAACTGAAGAACCCTGCAGTGGAAGATTAATGAACCAAACCCGATCAGAATTAATTTAAGCGCCCCCCCCCCAATCCACCAAAGCAAGATTTTGACAACTTCACTACCCGATAAGAGCCATTAATTGACACTCAACACGGATCTAGTGTGAAAATCCGAAGAGAATTGACTTACTGATTGGTTCCCCGTCTGCCTTATAACCTGGCCAATTTGGTGACCTGCTCACTTGGCCTGATGAAGCTTTTGTGTCAAAAGCGAAACGTTGCCCAAATAAAAACTACCGATTGTTTATCAAGCTCTTCTGAAACGGTTCCAAACCTTTTCCAATTGATTGAAAAGGAAGGAAAACTGTTTGAAGAGCGCCCATCACACCAAACCACGTGTTGGAGTTAAAAGATGACCGTTTGAGTATGTTCATTGGTTGATGACCAGTTCATTGGGCTTGGCGAAAGCCACCGGATCAACAACCAGTCAACCAAGGTAAGGAAAAATGAGAACTTTATCTACCTAATCAAGCTGGATTTCCGGCTGGCTTTCGACACATTTGCTACGGTTGGATCAAGGTAGCCATGGCATCAATAGACAAGGTAAAAGTAAAGGTGATTCTTTGATCATTGTCATTTCAGCTTTCTGGACCCCCACACATTACAGGATGTGATACATCCTTTGAGTGGGAGAATCTCCGCTCTGGACCACAGCGAACAATCCACTGACTTCAGTTCCAACGATGTTAATCTGTTTCAGCCATGCTCCATAGACTCTTTGATCCCCTCTCACGTTCGTTTTGCACCCTAGTGCAAGCACACCACACAGTTGCGTGCAACCATGAGCGTGAACGACTTGTCGAACCAGATATTGCATCCAGTTCCGTGAAGTGTGGCAGCTGCATATCGATCAACCGCATCTTCGTCCTCTAACAAGTTAGGGATGTGGTCCTCATCCAACAAGGAGACAAAAAACGCCGCCTTAAAAAGAATAAACGAAAGGAAAGCCTCAGGAAACATGGATGTTGAAGTATCCCCTATTATAGGCACAAGCATCTGACGTAATGTTTAGGCTGCTACGGATGATTGATGAAGCCTCCATCTAATTTAAGGAATGACAGTCCAACAGTAAGGCATGGGTACTGAAAGACCCTAAAATAAGTTCAACCCCACTTGTATAGAACTGCTTGCACTGTGTTCATGTTGAATTCCTTGGTAAATAAAGTGCGACAGAAGTGTGAAACCTTCGATACGAAGAACGTTGAAGGAAAACTGTTTGAAGAGCGCCCATCACACCGAACCACGTGTGGGAGTTAAAAGATGACCGTTTGAGTATGTTCATTGGTTGATGACCAGTTCATTGGGCTTGGCGAAAGCCACCGGATCAACAACCAGTCAACCAAGGTAAGGAAAAATGAGAACTTTATCTACCTAATCAAGCTGGATTTCCGGCTGGCTTTCGACACATTTGCTACGGTTGGATCAAGGTAACCATGGCATCAATAGACAAGGTAAAAGTAAAGGTGATTCTTTGATCATTGTCATTTCAGCTTTCTGGACCCCCACACATTACAGGATGTGATACATCCTTTGAGTGGGAGAATCTCCGCTCTGGACCACAGCGAACAATCCACTGACTTCAGTTCCAACGATGTTAATCTGTTTCAGCCATGCTCCATAGACTCTTTGATCCCCTCTCACGTTCGTTTTGCACCCTAGTGCAAGCACAAATCATCATCATTATCATCGACAGCATGACCTCAGTGTTCGACACCAATGCTTCACTGCCGTATAACCATGATTTATTTGAAAGCCTTATTATAAAGAAAAGAGTAAAGGTGGACGGGGGAGGGACTTGGTGCTAGCTTACCACAATCATTCCGAGGTGCCCATACCTTCAGACATTCATTCAGCCCAAAGTTCAGTGACAAACTTATGGGGTCACTACTATAAAGCTTATCCCAGTGGATTTGTAGTCTGCCGCTAATTCGTCTTGTGAAAAAAATGAACCCAGAACATACGGGGATAAAAGTTGGAAATAACTGGTGTATAAGCATGGAAAGTGGAAAACGGATTTGGGTCAGGACCACGCCGTGATTACAGTCCACAACGCTAATTTTTACCATGAGCTTAGAATTCGTCGTAAACTTTTCACATAAGCATAGAACATTTCAAATGAAAGCGCCCCTAAAATATAAAGGCGATAACTGGTTTAGGTGTAGCCATCTGATGCATTCAAAGGATGCCAATGGTTACCGAAATCCTGAAATGTAGCAGAAATGAAGAATATTGAATTCAAGCGGCCTAAGATTCAGTACTGGTCGCAGTCTTCCCCTACTGATCAAATTGTCGGTAATGATTACGAAATATTTCGCATTTATGGGTCATATGTGTGGGAATCATGTTAGCATGACACTTGTAAAGAAGAATACCGTTTCAGTTGGGATGTGCATGTGTGCAGTGCGTTCTCAGACTATGGGCGAATCAAAATTGCAGTACTGAATGGTTATTAGGACTATAATGCACACAGTTCGGTGTGGGGACACTTCTTTTTGCCGCTCGTTAGCAGCTCGAGATAGGTGTGAAATTTTAACAAAACAACGCGGCTATCCAACCCCGTCCAGCCCCATTTCGATATGTCACAACAAGCAGTTGGTCTGACTGAGCTCTCATCCTGAGACCAATCAGGTTGCGAAGTCGTGCAGCACAGGAGAGCGCCCAACAAGCAATGTGAAACTATGACTCCAAAACTAAGTTGATGGCTGGTCTGAAACCGAACGGAAGCACAACTCTTGGAAAATATGGCAAAATTGTCTACGGGGAGAGGCGAATGGGATGGAAAACTCACTGTGCAAAGTGGTAACCTAAGGTAATGCTCTAAATTCCCATTTTAAGCACTTGTGCGTGAGTATATTCTTGTGAATCCTGGGTTTGTTTTCCCATTTCGCCTAGTGGCCAAGTCACTCCATTATGCATGACAAAAAATGGCATTTATGCCACAAATGATTCCATATTTTTTCGGCGTGGTACATTAGAAAGAAATCCTACAAATGCAAAGCTTTTCATTTTCATACACTGCCAAAACAGATAGTTTATCTTCAGTCGTGACCCTGAACGTCTTGAAAGATGCAGAGAATAAGGAAACCTGTCCAATAAAGTAAATCCTCTACAAATTGATTTGCAAACGAGTGTATTTCTCGAAAACAGTCCAATCTGGGTCAAGTAGAACATAAGGTTGACGGAAACTCGGGGACTGTGCCTACCTGATGAGCCCCAAGAAGGGTGAAACCGGTCGTGGGCTGTCGAAGAGTTTTCAGCAACCTTGTGAGTAGTTTCCTTTATGAAAATAAATCCTCTACAGTTTAGCAGCGGACACTTTTTGGAAATCGCGATCATACGAGGCATTTTCTCATCACTACCCAGGTATCCCACCGACAAAAGACAACCAATAAAGCTATCCACACTCAAAGAGCAAGCTGAAAACAGCGTAGCGCAGCAACATCAGGTGAACAGATGAATAAATAACTCGCTCCTTGTTGGGGGGGACGCATTTCTAAGCGTATGTTCGTAGTACGGCAATCTCAAGATTCTCATTTGAACTGTTGGTCGGAGTGAACTCGATGCAAACATATTATCACGAAGCTACTTTACAACAGATGGTCATGTCTCTCTAGATAGTGAACCATATTCTGCGGCTCTCCAAAATATTGGTAACAATAGAAATCAGTAAAGGAAGCGATAACAATTCAGGTTATGATAGCCAGCAAAGGATATAAGACGTACTACTCATACGTCACTTTACCCAGTGACATCGGTAGCTTAGCGAGCCTGGAGAGCCACGGTGCCAACTCCTTCACTAAATAGATTATTCACAATAGCTTCCAGACTTGCATATCAATCACAAAAACATTCAGCTATAAGAGTGTTAAAGCACCATCCCACTATGGTGCGACAAGCATTGGGAAAAGGAATAAACAGTGAGCTGAAGATGATGAGTTATATTCAGATAATCAGTAAATCTCCCTGCTTTACAAACTTTACTTGAACAAACCTCTTCGATGGCCCTCAAGGAGGCGGCATTGACACCAGTGTTGAAGAATTGCCTACGTGTCACCGCCCAGTGGGTCCGTTCACCAGCGGTTAGTGCGGCCAAAATTTCTTCACCGGGAAGCGCCTCCGTGGGGTCATCAATGATGCTCTGTAGTGTTCTATGACAGGAAAAATACGCACCAGAGACATTAGAATGGTGAATTACTATATGTGATATATAAATCGTTCATCGAGTCTTGTATAATATCAATAAAAGCCTGTCATGCAGTTGGCGAATGCTCCCACTGTGAACTGAATTGGGGATAAATGGATTACACGTGAAGGGGGGAGGAACGAGCCAGAGGAGGTCAAGTAATTACTAAGCAGCGAAGTGTAAAAGCCAGTACCAGCAAACTCAGCTGCGCTGGTCATTGCCATCTCCCTGGATGGGGACCTCGAAACGGGCCACATCAATGGTTAGGGACGTCATCAGACATGGCCCAGTCGCACCCCCAATGGCGCTCGTGCACCCAGGCTATTGCCTTCAATGCATAGCTCCCTCCCCAAATGCCCCATTTAACGGCCCATTAACGGTCCTATATTTACGCACTAATTTATCAGCTCCCACCTCCAATGCGCATATACCTACTCCACCTGCCCGAATCATCGCTGAATGGAACTGTGGCAGCTACAACCACAGTATGCGGTTCTTACAGCTGATGGCAACTGCTCAGCGCCAAACGACCTAAATTTCAGGCTTCATAGAACGAGTGGTGAACATCCAAACTTTCAACCAGTCGTCCAACAATAGGTGCAGATCAAGAGACACTTCTAAGACATTTAAATTGTCAATGAACAGGCACTGCCCGATGAAATTAACCACTAGATGCAGGGAAAAAACAAAATTAAAAAACCGTATTATTTTTCTTCGTATTCGTCCTCACAATGTTTCGACGGAATCACTCGGCTAACATAAACCGAAGCGGACAGAGGCATTGGCTCCGGGGTTTTGCTACCAATGGCACTCAAAAGCAGTGAGATGCCTATTCGTTAAATGAGTGAATCCCGGATATTTGACACGCGATGAAATGTGGTAGATCAGCCACAGGACAGACACATCTCAATTAGAGTCGAATTCAATCAGTTAAAATATGTACACCGATAGCTACCTTCGTTTCATCTACTCGAACCAAAAGCATAATGAACATTTTCCACCACTGAAAGCATTGAAACATTCAGGAAGGTACCCTGAGCGTTGAACTAAGTAGGCATAGTTTAAGACACCGAGCTCGAGAAAGCCAATTGGTGAAGACGTGCACATGACGACCAGAAGGTCCGTAATTTGAACCCAACCTCTGTTTTTCGACTATTCTTGTCTATGCTTGGGCAACCTGGCTGTATCTCACCCTCGTACTTATTCCAAGGGCATGGCACATAGCCACCGAAAGAGTGATACGGCTGAACGATTACCACTATTTAGACGCCGGTGAAATTAGTGTATTTGTGGTTCTTCAGAGGGCGGAGTGGAACTTCGAGGTAACTGACCGGATTCGATGCACAATAATTGGTCTCGATACGGGGTTAAGTAGAACTAGAAAAAGCTGGTTTCACTAGCCACTATCCCATGAAGCAGCAGTTTCTGGTCCAAAACCTGTAGAAAGGCCTGGTTGTTGCGGCAATATTGGCAGCGTGGATGGACTTGTCAGTTGTTGATACGGGTTTCTGAACGGGACCGATAGCAAGCGGTGCTGAGACTACAGCTGACCGAGAACAGTTACCGCGGGAATCCAGGATTTTCCTTTGTTTTACTGTTCTGGGTTAGATTTGAATGATTTGGTGAGTCTTAGGGGGAACACAAATGTATTGGACACACAGTTAGCACTGCCGTGAAGTCGGCAGTGCACCAGGACTGTACAAAAACACCAGCCAGCTGGTCTACCACCTTTGTTGAATCAGCTTTGTACGTGTCCGTTACCATCAATCTTCGGTATATGTGAGAGTAGCACATGTGCGCATCATTTTACACCTTCATGATTTATAAACTGTCCGTATCCACACGATAGTTCATTGGAAAAAAACTTTGGAGGCGCCCTGCAGGCATTAGGACGGCTCTCGTGTTGATTATCAAATGCCAACAAAGAGCGCCATGTACTTAAGTTGAAACAGAAAGGACTAACATTGTAGGTTTAACAGAAGGACGAAAATCAAGGAGAGAAAATGAATGAAGCAATCGAAAGCTTGCAGGTAACGCGATAGCTGCGGTCCAGAAAGCGCACGTGTTCACACCGCATGGCATGCATTCTCCAACGGTTCGTTCAAGCTGAATTCAACAGTGAATTTGCGCTTCATTCAGGGTTTTAACTATGTATTGTTTGATATGTTCCAGGAATCAAGAGCAATAAGGCTAGATCGGGTTTCGTTTAGTGACGAGTCGGCATGGATGGTGTGGAAAACACAATCTAGACTGGCAAAAGTTCAGGTAGGAATAGGTAAAGGATAAGAGACATCTTTTGGAAAGTATTTGTAGTCGATTTCTGCGTGATTCTGTGATGTCATGCCGAAAAACTTGCTCCAAGCTAATCGGAAGTCAAGCTCAGGGTTATCACGCAATGTTACTGCGGTCTCACTTCGTCTTTTTCCGATTGCTCGGATTCTCAAATTTAGCATATGGGTACCTGCCTGTATTGTTCAACCAAATGGAAAGTTTCAATGTTCTGAAGTTGAACTGACGGCAGCTACGCCTAAAGAGAGAGCGGTCATTGCAGTGGCTGAAGCTATTGCCATACGACATCGCGACCCGATCCTTTGTCGGCAAAAACGCTTTGTTTGTATGTTGTACTTACCATGGTCCAACTCCCCTCCATTCATACATGCACCTTGTGTTGAACACACAACTGCAGCACCCCCCATGCTAACTAGCTTAAGGCATCCTGAACTGATTGTTCTTTGATAGGTAGCCAATGTCGTCTCACTCGATTTCCTCTCCATTTACACCATACTCGCTCAAATATGTTAAAGACTAGTCTCTCAACCTTTGCAATTGTATGACTTGAAAAGACCTTGCCGAAAACATGTTCGTCAACCCATCTGTGTTCTTATTATAGATGGGAATTTTCTGAATATATATATATATATATTATAGGATGATTGCGTGTTCTACTGAATGGGTAACTGGTGCGCGTGATAACTGCAGTCCTACTGTACATCCATCTCCATGTTTGTCTAAGGTCATTACGTGTTCTTTTTCACGTCACTTACAACTACAGTCCACTGAACGCGAAAAAGCTCAGTGATTAAGGCATAATTATGAACCAGACGGTTCGTGATTCGAACCCTACCTCGACATCTGAACTGCCCCTGTCTAGGCTTGGGTAACCCGATACTATCCCAGCTCTCGTGGCATTTCAACTAAGCACCGGAAGGGTCTTCCAGCTGAACGATTAAAATTATCAATTCTTTTAACACAGTCCAATAAGTGATTGTAAACCTGTTCGAAGTGCAGTTCTATTTTGATGCAAAATTCTAGATTCAGCATAAATAAGCCAGATAAAAGTTTGCTCCACCAGGATAAGAAAAGGCTCACTCAGTCAACAAAGGTGTGAAGTGCTTCTAGCAAATATTTCGTGGACTAACGTAATTTTGCACAATGAACGAAAATACACGCTGTTTCTACCGCCAGTGGTCCAACTCCCATTTGTCGTTTGATCACGAAGGTGTGGAGAAACCAGGAATCTGATTACAAGCCACGCCCAAGCTAAGGTGCGCCCAGCATACGGATCAAGCTCACCACGGGGTCGTGGTTAAAAACGAGTTCCGTAAACAACACATGACGCAAAAAGCGTGATTCAACTAATCGCAATGTGCTTGTCGCTGAATTCATCGGATCAGTCCAACATGGTTGAATAATTGTTCAAGAGCTAGTTCGTGCCAGCTGACATTGTGATAAACAACACATGACTCCTATTCACGACGTAAGATGCCGTGACTTTAAATGGTTTCAGTAGGGTGTGGTTCCACAGGTTCATTTTGCTTACAAACGGGACGAACAAATCGAATAAGGAATGTCAGGTTGTAGACCGTGAGCAGGAACTACATCGTAAACAACCGACGACAAACCCTCCACCGACAGAGAGGGAGTCACACCTGTTCTACGACAAACGAGAGCGGAAACGGTAAACTGGTATGCACACAGACTGAAATCGCACACAAACTCCATGGTGTTAAACTGGCGGAAATTCCTGTGACAGTCACAGGCTGAGGTTATACGTTTATTCGTTACGTAACACTTCTAAGAGAAGACAACATGTGTCAAACAAACGCAAACAAACAAGGTATTCACGATATTCATCAGATTAAAGACAGTCACATTTACAGCATACGGCCTCTTGTCGACACCTAAGCAAGTTTCATTCATGGAATTCGCAAATTCTATTGGGAGACTATTCACGATATTCATCAGATTAAAGACAGCCACGTTTACAGCATACCGCCCCTTGTCGACACCTAAGCAAGTTTCACTCACGGAATTCGCAAATTCTATTGGGAGACAGGGTCATCCAATCACCCACCACCGATCCCTATCGACCGAATTTCGTCACAATATGCGTACGAACAAATATTGCCTCTATCCACTACCCACACTGTTGATTCACGTGTCACTCCCCAACTCGTTGCGTGTTAAAAACCCACCAACAGGATCGCGACAGGCCCTTCAAAGTAAACAACGAGAAAGTGGCTTGTACGCGATTGAAAATCAACGACAGCTGCGTGCGTAGTCGTTACATTTAAATCTCATATGGACGGGCAGAGTTAGCCCGTAATATCAATACACGGTATGGAAATACTATCGAATGAATACTAGACAGTAGTCCGTTGGGTTACCCTTGAGATACTGCATAGAAGTCCGCCCTACCCTGATGGTGTGAGGAAAAACACTGGTTGTGAAGAGCACAACACCCTAGAAAGGACGACTAATACGACCAAACAGGCACTACCAAAAGTAATTCAGCATACAGACTCAGATAACTCAAATAATATTCTCGGAACAGGCAAAGCATCGGAGGGAACAACATCAAATATGATCTCAAATGGATTCGGGGAATCCGATGGCTTCGGTCATGTAAAAATAGGAACATCAAAACGAACGGCAGACATGGGTTAGACATGACTCCATTTCTAGTTGAAATGGTTGTCTGGAGCCCACGGGGAAAAGGAGACTTCCAAACCCCGGACCCGGAAAACCCCGATGGTTGATTAGCCAGGCTTGCCAGAGTGTCTGCCATCCCCTACAGCCAGACTTCATTCCCAATAAATAGCATTCCGAGTCCATCATAGCGAATTGTGCCATCACTGTGGAAACACACCAACCCTAAAAGAGACCGAATATCCCCCAATGGGTGGTGATCTCTGATACCTGGGGATTGACGTGTGTCACTCACCAAGCCGTTTAAATGCGGGAGGTGCGTGTGTCACAACAGGTTACGAGAGATTGGAAAGAGATAGCCCTGTTGCCGATACCTGACATCATGGTAGACTGAGTCCATCAAAACTGCGCTTGATTCTGGCAAGACGTAGCTTTCAGGTGAGTGTCTTTGAGTTTTTCCCACTCTCCATCCAGGCTGGTTATACAGTACCGAATGACTAGCAATAGATCCCTTCCTGTTCATCTCGATAATAAGGCGTATGGGAGCGATATTTTTTCGTAAAGGAACGTAACGAAATCTGTGCGATCAAGAACACTGATAGAAACTGTCATGGTCAATGCCTTCGCAACTGAAGCTACCTGCAGAAGTCATGGCACAGAGGAAATCGGCAAGCAAGGCTTGTTCGGCTCGGCTGTATTTGGCTTGACGATTATCTCCAAAACCCAGCTTGTCATCTACGCGATTGATTCTTTGGCTAGGGCATCAAAAAACTTATATGAAACTCACCAGATATCACACACACACACACACAAACACACACACAATTAGATGAATTCACGGGCATCCCCCCGATGACCAGCATACCCGCGAATCCATCCAACTTTGCACACAGATCCATATCACATACCATATGGGTGGCATCACATGGTACCATACAAGTAGCGCATTTGGCAGCATATCACTTTCTACGTCTTTATTGAGGGAACCAATCAGGGGACACTTTCGTTCTTCTGGATCATTTTGCTTGCGATTGGGAGGAACTCAAGGTCTTGTAGCCGAGTTTACTTAGCAAAAAGAGGATGCGATGAACCCGAAACTGTCCTCACTATGAATTCGGGCGTCAGGCCACAATAGCCTTATTCCTCACAGAGAATCTTCCAAGGTTCGAAAAATACTACTTATGTGCAAGGTGGATTCACTTTGGAGATTTGAACCAGAAGTATCACGGTCAAGTCCTGAGCCCAACGTTCTGTGAGCATCATGTCGGAAGAAATGACAATTCAAGAACGACAACTCCAAGTAGCGAGATCACTGTTGCTCTCCAGGAAAATTGAGCCGCCAGGCTGTTGCACAAACAGGTACGAACATAGACCCTTTTGTAAGTGTGGGTATGACAGTCATCAATGATGATGAATAGACGGTGTGGGCAGATTAATCCTATGGAAAGAAGAATAGTAGATAATTGGAAGCAAGAATCCTCTGAAATCCTCTGATAGTGTGTGCCTCCACAGACTTAGCTTGGACTAATCCGCACTCTCACAGCAGACAAGATTAGATGTTAAGAGTTTCGAACGTACAAAATCAAAGCCGATCACACATTCAGTGGTCAAAGGTCTTTGAATGCCCAAAGTAAACAGGGAAGGGATAAGCCCAGAGAAAATAGAGTTCCGTACATAATACCTCTGAATTGTTATGGGAATCGGAACATGAACGCTCTTCACTTAAATTCTGAGCACTCCACATAGCACTCCACATCATAACGATAGCTGTACAGCAAAAAATGCCAAAAGTAGGTGTAAAGCGCCAACAAATGGTACACCACAGAAGTGTCAGGACTGGAGCCAGTTGGAGTAGAACTGAACCACCATGGAATAACCATGGAATAACTCTACACTGACGACAAAATCAGAGTTTAAACAGACAAATACTAAAAGTCGTTTTGATTGCGAACGAAGACTGAGTCAATCAAATTTTCAAACTGCCGAAAACGAGCAAACTGATTAGTCCAACTTACCGTTCTATTTCACGAGCATCGAGCCATCGATTCTCGTTGTGTATGAGAACTTTGAAATAGCGTCCTCGGTGCAGAACCACAATGTGATGTGGCGTCGCCGGATCATGCCACAGCGTATCTACCTGAATGCCGGGAATCCGAGTGGTTGTGAAGGTCCGTTCGTACTGTATCATACAAAGTGGTACCATGTCGTTCACAATGACGGGTTCCAGTCGCTCGGTTAGCAGCTGGAACATGTAGTTGATCAGGGAACTGATGCACTGAGCGGCGCGGGCAGCCTGAACTCGTTGAATGGAAAGAAAGCAGAGTGGATAAATTGCGATCGTGCCCCAACCAAGGTGAAGAAATTCGATGGATCAATAAAAGATTAAAGACCATCAGTGGGTCGCAGATTACCAAGCAAACACAGGACAGAAATCTAGAATCCAAGTACCGCAACCGTCAGTATTCAAAATCGGTGCTTCACTGCCGTAGAGTTATAGTACCATTGGTTTAGGAAGCTTTAGTGTGAAAAGAATGAAGGGGTAAGGCGAAAGTGTCTAGCGCTAGCCCATTGCAAGTACTCCGAGGTATCTGCATAACGAAACGTCCAAGTCGAGGGTGCAAATGAGAATCTGACAGAAAAGGCGGTGCTGAGATTGCAACCACGCTTTACAGCACCTCTGGCCGGTTACAAGAACAGAGTCCGGGGAGACGCATCTCACCAGGACCCCAGGTTAGTTGTTATTCCATTTACACGCTTCATTTGCTGTAGTGTGTTCATCTCCTTGCTTGAAACATAGTGGATTCAGTAGGAAAAACAGCGCCACATCATGACTCGGCATGCCCAACACCATCCAACACAAGATAGTCTATTGTGTATCTTTGTAATGTACTACTCATATGGTTGCTGAAAACCCGTCGACAGCCCACCCTATGAGTAGTACATTACAAAGATATACATGTATCGCGATATCAAATATCGTAGCGACGGAAACATGAGGCGGTCTGGTGCAGCACATTTAGTTGCCTGAGAACATCACAAACGAGAGATTCAGCTGGGTTCCAGGTGAGTCTCTCGAAAAACCAAATTAGTTTGCAAATGAGTGTATATTCGCTAATAGTGTATTGTGGTTCGTTAATCCAAACTCCTTCGAGCAGCTGCAAGCTGTTTTGAAACTTGAATGTGGTACTCCTTTGGCTTACATCCTGCGACGCTATAGTCCGTGCTTCCTGTCAACTCAGACTCGCGGAATAACCGTCATAATTTATTTTATTGCATCAACGGGCGTATTCACTTGGAACTGGCACCAAGCGGCATGACCTTTGGTTCGGAGACGCTTCGAATCCTCCTAGATGGGTTAAGTCAGGCTAAGGTTCAAAATGTCCCATAAGGAAGGTCATTATGCACGATCCTTGAGGTTTAGAGATGAACCGGTCTGAAGCCATTAGCGAGGGTGATCTGAGCCTTCAAGATGCGTGCATCACCTCAGTTGTTACACCACCATTTGAATATGCACAGATATAGAGTATTCTATAACCTCTAGTTTAATAAAAGCGTGATCAGAATATATAGCATAGATCGAAACTCTGTTGGCCAGTTAATCTGTTAAGGGACTTCACCTCCTTGTCACTGTTGCCATATACCGTGTCATACTCGGTATTCTCCTCAAAATCACAACAATGAGTGCTAAAACAAGTCTGGTTAGAGCAGAAATGAAAGGAAAGTGAGGGAGGTTGGAGAAAGAAACAGCTGATAGGGCTGAAACTTCTTCGGTTGTGTGTTATGAATTGTGTTCACTGACAGAGTAAACAAGGTCCACACGGTCATGTGTTGTGTACACACTGTGATAGTCGCAAGCATTTGCCAGGTCTTATCCACAAAGCCTCTTTGGTACCATGGCAAAGGGCCAACCAGTGCTTGAACTTGGCAAGATTTCGAGTAACTACGTATTTATGTTCAATCGCTTGCTTTGAGACCAAGATCATGAGTCTATCGTGGAGATGTATCACTTCTAAGACTGCCACTTCGGGTAGAATCGTTTTGAATTCGACTAGTCCTGCAATCCTGCAAGTGGCGCATTCTTCACAGATATCCAGTAATGGAAAACGCAGCCTTAGAGGTTACCACTTTAGCAATAGTTAGATGAGAACACATGGCTTGCTGAACTAATGGGATACAGTCATGCGCGAAGGACACACACGGTCACTCAGACTTGACATTACAAGCATCTTCGCACCAGAATTCATATATGGCGTGGCCAATGTTAGAAACCGATATAGCTGATGTAGGCTGAGGTCATCAGACAAGACAAACTTTTAGAAAACAAAGTACTTCTTCCCATACAAGCGGAGACCATCACCCTGTAAAAAAGATAGATCACTTCCATTCGATCAAAGGAATTTGGCTTGAAATCGATTTCTTGTGAAAGGCGACTCCCGGTCCCCAATAAAGAACAAGTAAATAAGTTCTGGTTCAGTCTCTGAGGCGCAATAGCTTATCGTAACGAAAACAAAGTTGAAAATTCATGTAAGTGGGCTTTCTTCCATTTAAACACCAATTAAGCACCCGACGGATCGCATAACATAAGACTCGTGTTGAAACCGTTGTAGTCAGTATAAAACGGATTCCGAAAAGAGTAGTATATTCTCTCAATGAGTCCAATTGAACTAGGACAGATATCGAACTCTAAAGTTTACTCAAGATAAAAAGCGGTCAGAAAGTATGTGGCAGCTGTTTACCATCGCATCACATGCGATATCATCTAAATGACTAGATCAAAGCAAACCTGAGAAAGGCATTATGGAACACATCTAGACTCTAGTCTAAAACCCCCAATATAAGCAATCTGTTCAGAGGACAACCTGCGAATCACGTGAACCTTACTCTAAGTCGTCACACCCAAGTCACCGGATCATGTGACACACCATATCCTGAAACAATACCAAAGAAGCATCGCATCCATAGGTAAGTTCAAGCTTCTACCCTCTGGGATTAACCCTAGAGATCCTGCGGGTGAGTCCTAACAACAATGGAACAGCTGAACAGTGCCTCGGCTTGTAAACATAGGTCAACAACACTCAATAAATATCAAGATTTTGGAACAGAGCAATCCAAAGAAAGGGCCAGGCATAACTGACCGCCAGATGACTAACTTACTTGAAGGTTAGTTGGGTGTCGCATCAGAGTGTCCAGTCCGTAGATATTTGAGTGTGCAACCAACGGAGATCGACCATATAAGTAGACGTATTCCTCCCACCAATCTGTTACCTGAAAGCGGCATAGGAAAACAAAAAGGTTCGAATCGGACTGCGGCTTCGACAAAAGGGACTGGGTGGAACAGGAATCGAATCAACTGGGATAACAACCTGAATATACCTGATGTACGCAGCTAGTGAACAGAACAGTCCCATTTTTGCGGTGCAAAGGTCAAGCAGGGTAAAAATGCTGAGACATAGGTCATAGTAATCACCAGAGTAACCTCTCCAAGAGGTGTCAAAATGAAGAGAAGCGAAATTCGGTCTCTCATCAAAAGCAGATCGGCAACTGAACATCACTTTGGGCTGTGCGAAAGTTTCGATAAATGGTTCTTTTTACAAACTACTGAGTGATCGTCGGCTAAAGGGTCTTTTGAAAATCGTACTGGCCTTCTATAAGTCCTAACTTTTGCTTCGCTGTTTGTCCAAAGCGAAATCTAAGCGTTACTTGATGAACTGGAGACCACCCATTAAGGTCAGTCGTGGTTTATTTTTGGGTTTGACTGCACCAGGTGACCCTCATCTCAGTGCTTATTTAGCCTGAGCTCGAGCAGTCCTAACATTTAGAAGAGGAGCTGCTAGCCACTCTATTGTTCAAACTCAGCTCTGGCTACTTGACTGTTCCTGGGAGCAGATTATCACTCTAGAGAATACTCCATTCGGTATAATAATAATAATAATAATAATCGTTCAGCTGTAACACCCTTTCGGTACCTAGCACGAGGGATGGGATACTCAGGTCGCCCAGGCCTAGAGAGGGGAAGTCGAGTGCCAGAGGTCGGGTTCGAATCACGGACCTTCCGGTCAGTAAATTCGCGCTCTAACCACTTGGGCCATCTCGACCCCCCCACCTCCATCTGGTGTACGGTATACTGAAACGACACACAACGCGAAATACTCTGAGAATCATTCTTGTAGAAGCGGAAGATTGGTGGTTATCTCGACTCAATTAAAGATAACTGCAAGTCGTAACGTTATCCGGAATCACGAATAAGCTAGAAACTACTGATTACTTGTTTACATGTAACACACTACTATAAGGTTGCTGAAAATTCTCTGACATCATAAGGCTGAGATTCAGCTGAGATTCCTTTGAGTATCCGGTGAAGAACTAAAGTGATGTGTGAATGGTTACATATTCAAAGTGGCTACTTCGTGACCTTCATTCCACCCTATACAGAAAGCCAAGCCGATTCAAAGCACCAGAAGTAGTTGGTGTTGCTACCTGCTAGTAAGACAGCTATCTCCTCCTTCAGCTGTCTTACCTCGAGTAGAGACCATCCAGCCACCAGGCTCTTGTTGTGCACGCTACAATAAACGTGTTTCTACGTGTGTCCACTTAGTAAAAACAGCTCGTAACCATCACACAAGCACTACGGAAGATTGTACTTTTCAGTAGGACAACGCCTTGTCTGAAATTCACTGACCTTATTACTGGGATCAGGTGAGTTGTTTGCTTACTGATGTTGAAATGTAAAAATTCATCCATGGCCGATCTTGAATTCAGTGTGTCAACGACTTCAACAACCACTAGAGCATTTTCTTTGAAACAGCAGTCATTTGTGACATCTTACGTCTGGGTGTCAGCGCCTATCAGAATTCCACAATTTCCTCATGCCCGCACCAGAGTTCTGAGGATACGAACATTTCACCGTTTGCTACATTTCACATTTTGCCAAACTCACTGTTTTAGGCAATAACATTTGCTTTTTATGCCTTTGCCATCGTTCCAAACACTTGCATTTCATACGGTTGACGGCACTCCAACAACTACTCAGGCCTTCGGTATGCGCCTACGGCACTCGACACCAACTATTACTCGGAGAACCCAGAGTTATCTGTAAGCTAACTACTACCTCACACTCTGAACTAGTCGAACAGCGGAGCGTCCATGGGCTTGACTGCTAGCCCAGTCGACCATCAGCTGGGTGAACTAGCACAAATACGTTTGCCTTGTTAAAAGCTGTTTTGAGAAAAGCATTAGCTCTGGGTTCAATAAGAACCGCGCTTGATTTTGTGTCACAAACGTACATGGTCTGTGCAGGAATGTGCGAACTAGGCCCTTCTAGCTTCTGGCGAATAGTTCGTGTCCTTATTGGCAATAGGCCCCTATAGTAAGATTCCTGTCACATGACGAAAAGTTGGATACGGCACATCGCTCTATTCTTTATTCTTTCGGGGTGCACCCTAGCTAAGAGGCCACTTCAGAAGGTTTCAAGCAGGTGGCTGATTAAAGCAAGTGAGTCATGAACAGCGCGCCACCTGTGCACGTTCTTGGGAAATTCTGTATTCCTGAAGCAGGAAATGCTCATTTGTTAGATCAAACATCTCCAGTTTTTCGATGAACGTGTCCGCTCTTTTTCGGAAAGTTTGTTTGGATCTAAAAGTCCCTCTTCAGCGGACTAGCTGGTGGATTAGTTAGGTCTTTTATGTCCCCATAAAAATAAAAATCGTTCAGCTGCAGCACCGTTTCGGTTCCTAGCTGCCATGCCACCTGAAGGAAGCACGAGGATTGGGATACTGCCAGGTCAACCAAGCCTAGACAGGGGAAGTTGAGAGGCAGAGTTCGGGTTCGAACCACTGACCTTTCGGTCGGTAAACTCGCTCTCTAACCACTAAGCCACCTCGCTCCTATGACCCCACAACCCATCTGGTGGGTTCGCACAGTGAACTTCGAAGGCAGGCAGCATGCGGTTGTCTCATAATAAAACCATTAGGTTGGACGGATGTTTAACTACATGACTTTCTAGCAATGACGTACAACCGTTTATATAATGTCCATATCCGTGACTGCCACTCGATTCATGATTGCATATGTTTCAACAGTGCCTCGAACCTAGATAGTTGATGGAGGTCTGAATGAGTTCTTCCGGTCCCTGTGGATCGACCTTCTCGGTTAATCGGAAGCTCTCCGTTTCAGTCAATCGTCAAGCATCTTTGTCGTTCAATCTTCTTAGGTGGGTGTCAGTTGCTCGACTTTTTGTCCCTGTTTTGTTTCTCTGAATTCAATCTCTTTTTTACTCGCCTGCTGGAGTGTTTGACATTCAAACTGAGATAGTTGACTGTCACCTACTGACCCAGGTTCCGTTCTGAGTTTGACTTGAGCCATTCTGTTCCTCGAAAACGCATTGCCAAAGTATGATCACGAACTAGTGAATGAAAGTCAAGTCACCATGTGACTGGGAAAGCATAGCTACACATTAGAAGAACCACTTTTGGATCCTGATAGGCACATTTTTCATATTCCTACAGGAAGATCGGTTACGAACGGAAGAATATCGTGAGTTGCCGACTGGAAAACGTCCTATCGTTTGGTTGGTATGTGGATTCGGATGCCATCACGTAGATACTCCCGCTGCTACTGGAACTTCTAATACGCGAGTTGTAAAGTCACTAGTAGTCACATACCTTTCTCGCCACGGTTATGAACAGTTTAGACGGGGTTTTTGTCTAGCATCTTATTGCACTTTTGTCTTTGCTCTGCTTCCCTATTCCCCTGTAGATGTACTTTCCAAAAGCCAGTTCAACCATATTGGCTTGCTGGACTGGGTAGGTTTGATTCGGTTACTAGCTACGGACTTTGGTTTGTGATAATGTCCAAAACAAGCACATGGCCTTCGTCCACTCCACACACCAATGGACTGTCCACAACAAAAGCCGATAGGTTGAGAAGACGTTTGGGCAACACAGAAACTGGAAAATTCCCCAAAAACAAGGACAGCGAGCGATGTAACAGATAATTCGGACGACTGGTATCCAAACGGTTGCACACGTAGATTGAGCAAATCCATTTGAACAAAAACATTTCTGGTGTTCAGTCAGAAACCCGAGGATAGTTTGTGACGATAAATGATTGACACGTCTGAATGATCATCAGTCAAGGACCGCATGAAAATGACTCGGCTGAAGGACACGTTGCCTTTTGGATGAGGAATTCAACCCGCACTCCAACCTACAGCATGTATTACGTTTAGGTGTGATATGAGAGGAAAAAGCGCCGCGGTGAACAACCGATATAACCATGTATTCGACCAATGATGTCCCGGGTGTACTGTCTGAATCTGGTGGGTAAACAGAACCAGTAATGCGCATAGAAGCCAAGAAAGTAACTCAGATGATCGATGCGTTTTCGACATCCCATGGATTGAGCTGAGCCAATCACTTATCCTAAATGAGCTCGAGATAGCTCAAGGCTAACAGCTGACTATACATCTGAGTATAAGATCCAAACATGATAACTCGACTGCTTTTCAGCCGTGATGCTGACTGCTATGTGCTAGAGACACAGCCCACTGGCACCCACGTTTCCAAACCACTGCCTTCAAAGCACAACATTTAGACAAGCAGATGCTCGAAATTGCTGTGAACATCAAGGATATCAGATAGTGATTCAAGTGCGTAGCTATCCGCACAAGTGCGACCCCGACATCATCAAAAAGGGAAAATGTGGCATTTGAAACGGTTGTGCATACTTTACGGTTCACAGTCGCGCAAGTGCATCAGAGGTCAAAGAGTGTTCAAACAGGATCACAGGGTGAGGAGTAACTTAAAGCCTGACAAGTTCAGTAACAGAAAAATGAATTGTCCATATAATAACAAAGTTTCCAGACACAACAAACCAATCATGCAAAATTCGCTCACGTAATTAGAAGCCCAGAGTCGCTTCAGTCGTAAATAACGCTGAAGCTTCACCGCCTCGTTGGTCTCGAAATCTTGGGCGAGTTTCTTAGTCCGTTGCATCTGATCCTCATCCAGTAATGGCTCCACAGAAAGCAAGTACTGCAGAAAGAGCAGGCAATGAGATTTGGTGTGATGAGTAGGAATGAAGTCAGCCAAGCTACAGGCATGGCAAATATGACAGTAGAATTGCGCACGAAAAATATATCATATATTTTTCTGGCAACACAGTAAAACATATATCAACGTCCAGTCACACCTCCCGTGCATAAAAACCTCTGAAAGCTCACATAACTGGGACGAATTTATAACGTGAGTGAAGTTCATTATTTCACCAAGTGACAGAAAAAACAGGAGGGCTATGAGCGCGGTGCTGGCCTGTCCTAATCATGTTGAACAACTGACCCGCCTTCTATTCTTATCCAACTAGTACTAATGACTCTGATTGGTCGTTAGAATACTACATTGGTCTTTTAGGAAAAGCTCTATCTCTTATCCGATCAGTGAGATCATACAATCTCTCGTTACCTTATCTTGATTAAAGCTGGGAGTTGCGCAAGATGCTACGCGCAACATATCGTCAAAAAAACTTACACGGTCTTTAAATGTTTCTAAAAATCAATCAACTGTGTTTCCTGGGTCACATACTATAAATTGTACACTGCCAGACAACTTGGGTCGATATTCCGAATCAGCTGATTTGGCCCGACAATGGGGTTCGCGGGAGCGCACAGGTATGGTTAAAATAAAAGCTGCGCGGTTCGAATCCACCCCGCGAATTTTCGATTGCAAGTGTCCAGACTTGGAATACCTAAGAGAGTCCCAACTTTTGTCTTTACCTAGGATGAATGCCGGCTATATGATTTAGCTGAAAAGCAATCACATTCTAGACACAACAGGTGACTCAAGATAGCTCAATGTTTAAACAGCGAACTTACTGACCGCATTTTCTGTGGTTTGAATCTAACCTCAGCATCTCGACTGTTTCTGTCTAGGATTTGGCAACCAGGAAGCATCTTAGCTCTCGTGCTCTCTTCGGATGCAATGACAGCTGGGCAGCGGAAAGGTATGACAGCTAAACGACTGTTTACTTGTTTCTTGTGGCTTCTCCGTTGAACAGCAATCACAAAGCTCCAAATCTATTGTTCCCTGGTCCTATAAGCACCTTGGACAGCCTTGGTTTGGCTAAACCACAATAGATACTTGTTTGAAGCGGTGGCGAGTAGACCGACCTTGAGTTATTTTATCAAGCGTATCCATTTTAGGAGACAGATTTGTTTAAAATTCAAATCGATCCCCAAACACACTAGTGTTTTAGAACAGTTACCCTGTCTTCTAACGCCTCTTTGGATATCGACAATACGCCAATCCCGAATTCCTTAAAGTAGTGAACCACACAATGCAGTTCCAGAGAATAGTTGAACTGGATAAAAAAACGTGTACTGGTCACAGGAAACTCACTTGGTTCAAAAGTATCAAGATAGCATAGTTGAGTAGTTAGGAGCGAACTCTTCAGAAAGCTCATCTGGTTCCAGATTAAGACATTCTTCAGTCCGGTAACTAGTTTCAGATTGAGTCTCTTCACTGTGTCACAGGTGTTCTGCAACTTTGTTCCTGACTTATTCCTTGAAGCGTGTCGTAGAAAGTGGCCGAATTTACAGGACTGCTTTGCGTCGATTTTGTCACGATCAAAAACAACGATAGCTGAAGCAATGGTTCTCTTTGCTCCAAATGATCAGGACGGAGAAAAAACAAAAGAAACATCGTTCAGCTGCAACACCATTCCGGTGCCTCAATGCCATGCTACTCGAAAGAAGCAAAAGGGGTGAGATACTAGCAGGTTGCGCAAGCCTGTGGCAGTCGAGATGCAGAGGTTGGAATCGAACCGCAGACCTTCCAGTCATTAAGTTCGTGCTCTAACCAGCAAGCCATATCGAGCCGCAGAGAAAAGACCAATGTCACACACTAACCCCTAAACTGCTTTCTGTAATCGCGCATTTAAAAAAAGATTCTATATAACGGTGGTTGATTAACGACAGTGGGTATCACATGTCTGGAGTAAAAATTGCCTATGACCACAATGACCGGGCCGGCCAAACCAAGGCGCGTATTTTGATGATGTCTCCTTTAGCCTAGAACCCAGTTCCATTTCGAGACGTTAAACCTGTCACACTTGTGTGCTTGCATATGTAGCTCACTTTCACACTGACAGTGCAAGTGTGGTTATGGCTCCCTGTTATGGTTCCGAAGTTATTAGTCAAGGTCACGTGGCCGAGTACAGCTAATGAATCCCAACGTGGATGAGCCTTTCAACATCAGAATAAACCCTTAGCATGAGGCCATTCTTGAAATTCACAGGGCAGTCTAATGAATGGGCGTCCAGTGGTTGACCATTTGAGTTGCGGAACGCTCTTGCAATCGTTAGGAAGAAAACAAGCTGGCATATATTATTGCATTTGTCTGTACAAACAAAAGCAACGTAGGTAGGTGCAACGAACCCCGAAATGAGCGTCCCTTTTACAAGTAGGAATACTGTGTTTATCAAAATAGTGACAGAAGGAACCCACGATTTGGACGTCTTGTGTGGGAAAATGAGAAAATGCGTTGGTGTCGGACAACTATTCAGTATACTTTACAGTCCAAAAGAAACGCTGTCATCATCCCGGTGGGACAGTTTCGAATCATAGCAAACCCGACATAGTTATTTATCGTATACTACGCGTTTCCGTCAAAACGTTTCAATGTTCAAGGCCGTGGTGACCACAGTAAGCAATTGCAAATGAATCACGTGGGAATCCATAATTATTCAATGCAAAATTGAACATCAGTCGATTGAACGACGGGTTAGCTAGGGGGGGGGGGGAACGGGAACGTTTTTCCAATATTTTTAAACACCATCATATTTCTTTGTTTTTCTTCCATTGGATCAATTTCATTTGAACTACCTTTAGCCCGCGTGAGACAACACAGGGACGATTATACGGGACCAAAAAATACTAATTCTAAAATATCTAAAATAACCAAACGAAACGTCATTTTTATTCGTGGTGACAGAAGCGTAACGGAGAGCAAGTACTACTAAACTGACTTGAAAAACCGGTGTAAGTATCATTGCCTTTCGACTTCCCTGTCTAGGCTTGGCGACCTGCCAAGTATCCCAGCGCCTCCTTCGTGCCGTATGGCATCTAGGCACCAGAAGGGTGCTACAGCTGAACAATTTATTTATTTTATTTATTTACACAGAGAGTTTCAAACTCATCCGAAATATTACACTTGGCTGACTCTGAATACCAACTGACATTGATTGGAAGCAGTTAGTGCTCGAATTTTTCGACTTAAGTTGGTCAATTCAGTGGTTCTCTATCCTCAGCTAACCAGAGATCCTTGTAAGGATCTCTGAAGGAAAATTGAGGGAAATTTTGTCACACCAAGATTTTAGCTACGACCAGCCAATAGCTGAATTTGTACAATATCATCAGGCCGAAAATCCAGAGATCGATCAGTCAGCTCCAATGACAATGGTTTGTACATTCAAAACCCAACGCGTTCGGGCGTTCTGTTCAAACGTAAGAAAGCTACAGTGGCTGTCCCACGTGCACGAACACGTGGGGATTGCCGTCATCTCGGCCTGATTGTTGCAGACAGAACGTGGCGAAACATCACGTGGTTGTAATTCGCTTCCGATTCGGATGACGTCAGCTAAGGTTGGTTCGCAAAACCAAATGACAGCAAAACACAGCATCAGGAACAGGAATTTAGTGTAATTACTGGTAACCATGGGCAACAACGTCCAGCTAAAAAAAAATAAAGCCCATTGTTTGTGACGTACACCAATTTACTTGAAATACAAATACCATACGATCAGTCTTAGATAATTTTTGCATAATTTGTTGTTTAGTATCTTAGTCAAGCAGATAGCTATTTTAAGCGCGCATGGATGCAACTCTGTCACTGCATGGATAACCGTTTTTTGACAGTTATCGTGCCCCTACTCTCAACGTACATGATCGCCGTTCGCATCTTGAATGGTGTATGCACCTCACAATTGAGATGAGCCCACTTTCAGAGTCTCAGGATACTAGTCGTAACAAATTTGGTGGTTCCCTTAGATTTTCTGCCTTTTTCCTTATCGGGTAGCGTAGTTTGGATATTTTTTTGGAGGTAAACCAAAAGATTGTGAAATTTGGACGTAGACTTTTGCTCATCGGTTACTCCTAACCGATACTGTCACAAACAGCCCCATGGTTGGAAGGTTTCTTCGATGGATAGCGTACACCTGTGCAGCTGGATGACGGCGTTCTTGAAGGCGTCCTCTTTCCTGGGGAACATAGTGTTTGAATTGTATCGTTGTTACAGAGGGGTTTGGTGGATTTATTGCTGGGCAACGTTTCGCTTTTGACACAAAAGCCTCGTCAGGCCAAGTGAGTAAGTAAGTAGGTTGATTGGGTTTTAAGGTAGTCAGGGAACCAATCCGTGAGATTTCTTATGACTAGTGACGTGATCAGTGCTGGGTGTTCAGTCTGATGTCCTTGTTTGTTGATTAGTGCGATGACTAAGCTTTACGATAGATCGGTTAGGGGGTAGAAACCGACAGGTACGAATAAACATGAATTGAGGTATTGTCCTAGAAATAAACTTTGATGTTGCCTCCGTGGAGATCAAGTAGTAGATTCGAAAAAAAATCCAACGTTCATGTCAACAACAGTTTGTTATCGAATTTGACGACTCTTGTAAAAGATACATATGGTATTCAGGAAGAAAAATTGGAAACGCTTTTAGCGTACACTGATGCTTGGTTGGTTGTTGATTTCAGGATAGATAGCTCTTTGCTATCCGCTGTCGCGAAATCGCGCGACGCAACATATGCTGCGCACACGCTGGTTGGAGGACATTCTAAAAGACCAAAACCCTAAATCGAAGGTCTCTCCAGTCAGCCGTAAACATCTCATCGAGTATCTTTTCTCGTGAGGTTGAAGTTGTTGTATACAGTACTCTTGAATGAATCTGCTAGTTTCGAAGCGATCAACCTGGTTTAGACAGCGTTCCAAAGCCACATGAGCGTCAAGGTTCATCTAGTATGGTTGAGTTTTTAGTTCATAACCACGAAACTCGTAAACAAAGTGAGGTTTGGCATCAAATACGGTGTCATCTTGATCCGACTAAGGTGCAATAGGCAAGCGCCTCAGAGGACCAGGTCCACGGAATGCATTATTCCTGTCACCAACCAGTGCACTAGTGAAACCATCGTTCAGCTTTAGCACCCTCTCGGTGCCCAACTGCCATGCCACCCAAAGGTTGCACGAGGGCTGGGATACTGCCAGGTTGCCCAAGCCTAGACAGGAGAAGTCGAGAGGCAGAGGTTGGGTTCGAACCACGAACCTTCCGGTCAGTAAATCCGCGCTCTAACCACTTGGGCCATCTCGCCCCTGTGAAATCATAATGGAGAGTGTCTTGTCATTCAGTGTGTTTTTCAGTTATAAACCACATACTAGCTGTTACATTTTCGGTATCCGAAAACTAGGAGATCGGAGAAAATGTAGCCAAGCACTGGAAGTGATTAGTAATCAGCTGGTCCATATTGAATGAGTCTAGTTAGTTGAAGGAACCGGAAACTGAGTAGCCACGTAGTGAAGGCAATAGTTTTGATACAACAGAGTTATCGAATGCGTGATTGAACCGTCTAACGGCATCATTAACCATTGGTGGGTTGATTTTCGGGGTTCCTATCCAGAAAGGCGTCAGTCGTCAATCCGACTAAATTTACTGGTCGGTGCTCTCGTAATTCGTCGTCAGGTCATGGACTGTCCACTTCTCGGTCGCTTCCACTCAGAACAGGGCTGGAAAAAACGAGCTCTGTAAAGCAGACGGTCCTTCGGCATGTGAAGTATATCCCAGCGAAACCTACGAGACGTGAGTAGCGCATTCATCGCTGGAGAGTTCCTTCTTCCTAACCTGATGTTCCCACCAAGCCCGGCCCATGCTTCGCAGATACTACTTGTCACAAATGCTGAGAGCCTCCACACATCCCTCGTGTGATACCCACGTTTCTGATTCACAAATCAGTATGGATGGCGACATTTCAATATACACTATGCAGACAAATTGATGTAACATCGGTGCCATGGGTGTTAGAAGTTGGAAAAAGCTGCCTTGACATTCTCGGTTCAAGCAGTAATCTCGTCTCCACCCAATCCACCGGAATTTATGCAGCTGGGACAAGTTCATCTGCCACATCGATTGACTGATCTGCTAGCATGGATTTTGGTTTTCGACCCCATCGAGTCCTTCACAGAAACCCTTTGCGCATGTGAAACACATAACAAACCGTACGGCGGAATGATCTGGGTTATTTAAAACGGCTTGCAGATTTGAAGGGATTGAAGTGAAGAGGGTTATCTCGTCCGGATACTCAATGTCTGTGAAGGACACCTTTAGAGCATCTTGATCCCCGAAGTTTCAGCGGCAGGCTGAGGAGTTTCAAACAACAAAACAAAATCAAAAGGAGTGATAGGAGAGGCCAGGCATGTCTTGCACCACTGGACGTGGTGAACCCTGACAAAAGTCTGTTGATTACGTAGGTGAGATGGCTGTGGTTAAAGCGCGAATTTACTGGCCGGAAGTTCCGTGTTCAAACCTGGCCTCTGCATCTCGACTTTCCTGTCTAGGCTTATACAACCTGGCAGTATCCTAGCCTTCGTGCTTCCTTCGAGTGACATGGCAGCTTGACACCGAAAAAGGTGCTACAGCTGAAGAAGTCCAGTTTTTTTAGTTCGATTCAATTCAATTTATCAGCTATAAACCGTGTGCCGTAAGCGCATTGGTTCCAGCTGCTACAATTTTCGATCACTAGAAAACGGAAAAGTGGAACATACAACCAAGCCTTAGAGATAAAGGCATGTTCAGTTTGTCCGGAAATTGGGTAGCTACGCATCAGAGGCGATAAATTTGAAGACCGGCTTGAAGATCATCCAGGATCGGTGCCTTGCAGCGGTGCAGAAATGATATTTCAGTATTTCTCCTGCTTACGGTGGGTTGATTGGATTGCTCCAGAGGTCGTGCTGAGAAAGATCGACTGAATTTGCCTTTATTATGCTTAACCCCTCACCCAGGAAGACGCTGCTGGGAGTGAATTATCGCTTCACTTTTTTTCGCAAATTGTCTCACTGGCATTGTGTCCCGTAACTAATTCAGCGACTATCATTGCATTCTTGGCGTTCAGTTCGACGGTTTTCAAAAGAACATCCGTCCCTATCATCCCCTAAACAACGAAAAAGCGGTAGTTTTTAGTACTGCATGGTATATGCACAAAAAATACTTTTCGATCTCGATGATCAGGCTGTTTCTTTCTCAGAGGCATTCCTCTTCCGAAATGCAACAAATTTCGGGACCAAATCATTCTGGGAGAGATGGCTCAGCGGTGAGAGCACAAAGGTGGTTCGAGCCCGACCTCTGACTGTCGATTTCCCCTGTCTAGGCTTGGGCAACTTGGAAGTACTCCAGCCCCCACACTTCCTTCTGGTGGCGTCGCAGTTAGGCACCAAAAAAGTGTTACAGCTGAACGATTTTTTACACAATTCTGGAGGCATACTCTTCCAATTAATTCTTAAAATGCGTTGCGACCGAAGTTAACCAACGACATTCGTATTAGGGCGTAATTTTTGTCATCGTTCCGGTTTCGCATAGGCTGGTACTTCTGAAAAACACCAACTTTCTAGATAATATTCATTTCCGCTTCTTACCAGCCCAACGTACGGATGTTGCAGGACTACATACACCAAATCGGTCTGTCTATCCGAAGAATATCACCAGAAAGGCAAAAAACTGATGAGCGTGTTGGTGTGGAACAAAACACGGTCTAGTGGCGATGTGGTATTTTGTACAGGAGTGCACCTACAGCTCGATACTCACTCGTCGTATGGTGTCAGAGACGGACGGCAATGGAAGCCGTGGAAGTGCCCCTTGAAAACTGTACAGACGTGGATGTTTACCTTTGCACAGCTTCACCAGCACCTGCAAAAAATGACAGAAAATGCATGGAGTAGAAACATCAGGATAACTGCGAAAATGGGCAACAACGGGAATAGTATTTTAGAGTGTTGTGTGGTTATTTAATCCACCAAATTCAAAGATCGTGGAGACAACTTGAATGTCTAGTTCAACCAACATCACAAGCTCAGACCGGATGCGCCCTGACTGAAGTCGGGGTCGAATCAACCTGCAGACAATCCATACAGGATTCTCTGGTCAATCACGTGATGTACAAAGCATATGATCGTAACTAAGTTGCCAGTTAATTACCTGGAGCAATTCAGTATGGCTAAACCGATGTTTGCATGATGTATGTCACATGCTTCGAGTGCACCGACAGACCCTACAGATGCCCGTGCTGAACAATCTTAATATTCGAATGAACGCCAAACTGAGGAGCAATCGTTTCACCTAAGCATGTGCCACCATGGTTTACAGTAGTACTAAATAACTATTAGAATGATTTCATTCATTGAGTTGCCTAGCTGAATCGTATATCCACCTCAAAACACCCAAATTGGGATTAACATATCCCACAAACGACTACGGCGGTTTCAGTTTCAGTTCTACCTTTCGAAAAATTCGAGCATGTCTGGAATAGGAAAAAAACAGCTCCAATTTGGGTCACCATTGTGTTTGAAGCGATTCAAAACATGGAACTTACTGCCCAAATTTTAGTTTTCCAAGACTGACCAGAATGAATCTCATAAATCCATTGCGTGTAACTATAGAGGAACAACAAAGTGTATCTCTTGATGAGAGCCCCGGATATCCACAGGAATAACGAATAGAGTAGTGAAGCAACCATGTGACATCTAACCATGTCCGAAATAAGATGCCTGGGGAGGAAAGCCGGTGAAAAAGATGGCGTCAAGCTTACCTTTTCAAGTAACTTTCCAAACTTGGGACTACCCCAAAGCTCACATCCCAACCAAGCATTGAGCATATAAAGACCAAGATCGCAGTGCTTGGCCAGCTTCCGGGTTTGGCAGGATACAGGCCATTGTAAAACTTATTCTGCCAGTGTAAAATTACTACAGAAAGCGCCCTGATACCTTAAAACGTTGAAACTTTTGTTCATATTGCCGATAGATGGATTTGCTGGCAGTCAATGCAAGATTACTGAAGTTCCGGTCAGGTTTCAAAAATTTCGCAAAATAGACTGCGCGACGAGCTTCTGCCATCGTTTACGAGTGGCCACAAAATACCCGACGAAATATGTTGCACGTGAATGAGGGCTCGCAGAAAGGCGGCAGAGTTCCTATTAAAGAAGGAATATATCAGGTAAACGGAATTTGGAGCTTCAGAAATTTCACCGTTAAAGTAAGAGACCCAAACCAGGAAAACGGCCACTGAAATAGAGTCAAAGTGAACTGTCTCAAAGGTAATTGACCGCCCCAGATTGTGTCATGAATCTAAACACACCGTGCATCCCTCCACGCCAGGTTTTGAACTCCATAATACAGACTCATCTAAATTTCTCGTTCGATCAAGCTAACCAATTAGAATTGTTGCGAAAGTATAAAAGCATTTCTACAAGCAGGAGGGAGAATCACCCTAGTGCTCAAAACTCACCTGCTGCGCCTTACTCACTACGCTCCCGGACTTGGTAAACCCCCATCTAAGTCAAACAAACCAAACTACTGAGTTACTGACTCGTGACAAGACTCCTCAAGAAAATCCTAGACCCTGTTGCCTAGCGAGTTAGATTGATAAGGTAGAAGCCACCAGTAGGGCCCCAGAATAAAACCATATCTTTTCTGGCTGCCTTATGGGCCAGGCATTTGACGGAAGTCTCAAGGTAAAGTGGCTCAATCAAACTTCCTTCTTCGGCTAAGGCGACCAGAAAATGTAGGAGCAGTGGCAGGTCAGTCCCGACTCCAAATATTGCCTCTAGATTCAGAATCCTGTTTGTATGTAGCCACTAAAATTCATCTTCCATTTTCCCAGAAAAATTAAATCTATACATGCACCACTAACACTGGTGTTAATAGACCTCCTCATTGATAGCGTTTTCCCCTTAAGCCTGACGTGTACCGTTTCCGAAACACATATACAAGGGTCAGTGAATCAGACTATCTGGGGGAGTGGAGAGACAAAGCGGCGAGCGTTTAGCTAACCACTGAAACCGGATAGAAAAGAAATGTAATTTCGAGGCGTTGCATGTAATGGTTAACAAATGGCGCCCTCGCGTATGATCACGAATAGCCCAAACGCCTTTGCAAAGATGTCCAAGGTAGGTAGCTATCTAGTATTTAGGCGCAGTATCATTATCATCATTATCAGCTGTGAGAACCACGTACTTGTAGTACAGTGGTTACAGCTACCACAGTTTCGTCCACCGATGATTCGGGAAGTGGGCGGAAGCTAACATAACTGATGCGTAAATACAGGGTTGTCAGTGGACTTTCAAACGAGGGGATTGATAGGGGAGTTATGCATTGAAGGCAATAGCTTGGATGCAGGAGCGCTGGACCATGTCTGACAATGTATCTAACCACTGATGTGATCCGTCTCGAGGTCTCCATCCAGGGAGACGGCAATGACAAGCGCAACTGAGTTCGCTGGTAATGGCTTTCACAATTCGCTGCCAAGTCAATGCTTGATCTCCCCTTACTCGTTTCCAACCTTTGTGTGGTTGTGAGAAAATGGCACTTCGATGAAGTCGGACAACTGGCATACGGAGTCCGTCACCAAGCCAGCGCAACCTGTAAAGTGTGCTCAGTTCAGGTATCATGTGTGAGTTAGTTCTTCCGAAAACCATTCGACGTACTTACTGATCCGCTGTTCGCACCACACTCGTGCAATGCTCCGAAAACATCGAAAGTCAAACACTTAAAGTCTTTTGACGTCCTCGGAAAGCAGCGGCTAGTTGTTTGATCCGTAATAATAGGGAGCGCACCACAGCACTGTAAACTCGATCCTTGACGGATAAGCTGATGTCATGACTACGCCACAACTGATGTAGGTTCACGAAAGCTGATATGTCCTTCCCATTTCGGATGGAAATGTAATCTTTGGTTAGAACACCGGGACTGATGCAGCCACCCAGATAGAAGAACTTATCTAATACCTAAATCAGCTTATCTTCAGGCACGAGGATCGGGTTTGAGCCCACCCAGTCTGTGCACTGTGCAGGTGTAAAGCACATGCGAAACTGTGAGTCAACATTACCTAAATTATCTAATATTGTTTGCATTATCCGATCCAAGAAGAACTATGTCATCTACGTACTCGACAACTGTGGGCGGACGTCTCGGGAGCATCTTGGCCCCACAGGCACTAGAAGCCAATAGGAAGTCCTCCATAATCATATCAGTAATGAAGCTGAAGAATAAAGATGAAAGAGGATAGACCTGTCTGACATCACTTGATGTGGTGAACCCAGGTGAGGGCCTCCCGTAGATCTTCACACGTCCGCAGAGATGGAGTACAGTGCTTTAAGGAGAGTCAAGAATTCATGGAGAACACTCCATAGACACTGCCATAGTCCTGACGGTCCAGAGTAAAATCAGGAATGACCAACACTGCTGGTTGCTGGAAGCGGCGTCGTTGTTTCACAGTCTATCGGAGGGTGAAAATGTGATCGGCGCCTCCTCTTTCAGGACAGAATCCAGCTTGGTTTTGACAGATCCGCCTCGTCCCATGTTTCGTCAATTTTCGAGAGATATGATCAGAGAGTATCCTCGATGACACAACTACCAGAATAATGCTGCGACCGTTTCCACACAGCTTGCTCATGTCTTCTGAAGATATGGATGATCGTTAATGTATTCCATTCTGTGGGTAACTTTCAATCGGTAAGGTACCAATTGCCTTTATAAGGTGTTCAACATAATAATATAATAATCGTTCAGCTGTAACAGCCTTTCGGTGCCTAGCTGATATATCACCCAAAGGAAGCACGAGGGCTGGGAAACAGTCACATTGCCCAAGCCTAGACAGGAGAAATCTAGAGGAAGAGGTCGGGTTTCAAACCACGGACATTCTGGTCAGTACATTCTCGCCCTAACCATTCAGCCATTTCTCCAAAGGATCTACGCTTTCTTTAAATACAATGTGCTTTTCACACAGCGTCCATCTACCCCTTTTGAAGAAAGGGATGACTATCGATGCGCCCCATTCCTCATGCACTTTCTCTTTACTTCATATCGCACCAATAAGTATTTTAGATGGGTCACCAGGGATTCTCCGCCCTCTTTGAACAGGCTTGAATTCAGACCGTCTGGACTTGTTGCCTTCTTATGTTTCGGTACGGACATTTCATACTTTATTTCTGCTTCTGACGGGTTATTAGGGTTTACTGTCCAATTGCCTACAGACACTATCCCCAGAAACTGTTGCAGAAGGTCAGCTAGAGTGTTTCGACGTATCCCGTTTATCTTAATAGTCGACATTTTTGTGAGCGAGTTAGTGACCCGCCCTTTTGACTTATCATTCAGCTGGCCGTTGTCTTCCTAGAGCCAGTTGATGTAGCTCACGGCTGTTTTTGGTAGCAAAAGCCTTCTCTCGAGCATTCGACGTCCACTGGAGTTCTCGCTTTCTTCTGAAGCTCTTCACTATTTTGGGTTTGAGGGATTCGCGTACGCCATCATACTCGTTACCTGGTTGTATGAATTTCCTGGAATCACTCACGACTAGCGATCTCGACGATGTCCAATGGCCATTTGATTACATCGGAGAAGTCAGACGGACAGCAATGAACGCCGCTAGCATAGTCCCTTTTCACACTTTGCTGTGCACAATACCAGTACAGTATTGGTTGGTTGTAGAGAGAGTTGTTGTAGAGAGTTGTTGACGAGCTCAGATCGATACTGTTGAGCTGTGTTTCTTCGAAGATAATGGATTGTCATGCTTCTAATTGCGACGACCTGAAGGAAAACGAACTGCTAGGCGTGCACACACTATGGTGTAATCGAAATCAAGTTGTGTGCCCCAGAAGGAACGACAATCTTGAATTGTGCTACCCACCGATGGCCACTCGATTCGGTATGGTCCACGGCTAGTTTGCAGTTGGTGGTCGCCAGGTTAAGCAATGTAAACGTTTGTGCTAAAAATTCGTGCTAGTCAGAAGCAGCTCATGGTCGGCACACAACTGGAGGAGTAGCTCCCCGTTGTCTGTGCGGTGAGCATCTACTCCGAATCGACTGCCCAAATGTGATTCCTGGGAGTTCAGACGACCCAACTGTGTATTCATATCGCCCTCAAGGATAAAATGTCAGTGCTTATTGCTTGTCGGATGAGCCTGGATAACCCTTGGTAGCAAATATCCTTCTCAGCATCAGAATTGCAGTCCGTTGAGGCATAAACCGACATTATAAACAGACGCCGCTTTTTATGCCGACAGACATTGCGCTTGATTGGGCTGAATAACCGGACGGCGCAGAGACCTAATCCAGCAAAGCGCGTTCAGCTCTAGGGCTGAGTGTAACTCCCACGCCATATATTCCACAAGTCATCGCTTCTGGATCACCGGACACATGGAGGGAGAAATGTGAAAGAGCTGAGTTCGTCCCTTTTGTTTTGAGATGTTTAACTACGCTTGGGTTTTGTATGCGTGTCTCGAAGGCAAAACATACAACAATTTTAAAGGAATATAAGTTCCCAGAGAGCATCGCCTGTTTGCCAATTTGACATGAAGTATGGCTGTTAAAAGCTCCTATGTACAAAGGATCTCCTGTATTTAGAAAGGTGTTATTTTGTTTATTGTTATAGGTAGCGGGCATGAAGTATGGCTGTTAAAAGCTCCTATGTACAAAGGATCTCCTGTATTTAGAAAGGTGTTATTTTGTTTATTGTTATTAGGTAGCGGGGTGCATAAGGCCCATCGGTCAGATAACTAACAATCAAATGAACCAGCAACGGTTGCTTGTGTGGTGGGAATGGGTCAGGGAGGAACACCGTGGACACAGACACAGTGTAACAGGACAAGAACGATTGCGGCGCGTGGCCAGGGAATTTGTGTCGTGGTAGGGGTAGTGGGTAGATAGTTCCTCTGATGGACAAGAAGGCTGTCA